TAAAAAGGTGCATTGTAATATTTGAAGAGAGCTGTTACTATTTCACTTGACAGCTTCTGGGATAGTTTAGGATCCAGCATCGTTTCTGACACAGTTCAATACAGAAACAAGCTGAGAAAGGCTCTGTTAGATGGGTTGGTTTGCAGGAGTTGTTGACAAACGTCAGACCCTGCATTCAGACCAAAAGCCAGCAAGTATCAGCAAGTCTTGATTTCCACCCCCTCCCTCTGCTCAAGGCTTTGGATCTTATTACATATATTTGGGGGGGGGGGGAAAAACCCCCAAACATTAAAAACAGTTCACTGTAGGAAATCCTACCCTCAGGCAACGAGTTGTGATCAGTGCACATTTTAAAACACCTTGTGTATTCTGTGCATGATATGCACCACATGCAGTGGGGAAGATCCAGCATTAGTGTACATGTGAACACAACAAGCAAGCACTGACAGATGTCACTGGTAAGACTGATACGAGACCAACCAGTGCGTTGATTTGCATCTACACATCCTAACACAAAGGGAACAAGTCACAAGTAACAGTACAAACCTGCTGCAATTTCAACACGCACATCTTAGAAAAAGACAATGCACGTACCCAGCCCTAGGACAGGGACAAGTCTGTGAGATAACCTCACAAAGATCAAGGTACCAGAAGAGGAAGGCACATTAACCTCTGGTTGGTCCATTTAGGTACTATTTGGATGAGTCATAGTGATTTATATACCCTGAGACTGTGGGAGGCCTTGGAAATGAAGAGAGACCAGGTGGATGGGCAAATAAAAAGTACAAGTTTAATGAGATAAAATTCAGCACCTGAATTTTCCCTTTTAGTAAGGGAATCTAGAACAGCAGTTCCTAAGAAATCAATGTATTGACTTCTAGATTTTTGTCCTGAAGGTAAAAGGATCAACATCTAGGACTAGAGACACTGCACTGCATTGCAAAGGTTTGTATACACCCTCTCAGTTTCATTCCAATGACCACAATTTGTATACAATCAAGTGTTGGTGGTTTTTTTTGGGTACACAAACAGTCAGGCAGCCGAGATTTTACCAACTCTGCCAACCCTAGCACTCTGTTTCAAATCTTTGTGCACTTTCTTAGACCATACCGCTCCCAGCAGGATACTAATGGGAAAGGCTGTTATGAAACGGGAAGATTCCTTTCTGCAAGAGCATTCTTTTAAGTAGCCAACCACCATATGGTTTTCCTAAACAAACCCAGCAATCACAAGCAAAAAGATATGTCCTACTTTTACCACTGAAACAAGAATGACAGGGATATATATTTGATCTCTCTGGAGATGTTTCTGATTCAGCCCTTTCAGGTATCCCCTCTGTGTTTTTAAATTCCTCTGGCACCCCAGAAGCCCTACCAAGCAGTTTGCCTTTCAGTGTTTCTCTGGTGCCCCTTGGCTATCCTCACCACACAAAGTGTTCACCTGGAGGGGCAAAGGAGAGCACCTGCAGGTAGAGATTCCTCCATACAAGATGTGGCTGTGCTCTCCTTTCCACTCTACCTTGTTCTGGGTGCCTGTGCTTCAGAGACTTTCAAACAAGTTACTGAGGGCACTGCAACAGTCAGAAAGGCATTTTAAGTTGAGGTCACACCACAGGCTTAGACTGTGGGATGGCCAGTGGGGCACACAGGGATTTTCACTTGGCTTTAAGGTAGAAGGTGTGTGCCTGGCATGGACAGGAGTCCCAGGCTGGTAAGAGGATCAGCTCCACCTGCATCACACACAGCTCTGCAAGTGTTCCTTAGGAACAAGCTGTACCCCAGTCCAGTAATTCAGTCATAGCAGCAACTGAAAAAGAATTAAGAACATATCAGACACCTTGGAAAAGTGGGTTTATGGAAAATAAGGGTATCAGACCACCACAAACAGACCTCGGAGCTCCCACCTGGCTGCTGAAAGACAATGCCGCTTTTTGAAGGTGCAACTGACAGCCCACCTGCTCTTGGTTTCTTGCAAACAAAGCAAAGAAGTGACCTCTGTGAAGGGTCTAGGCAAGCCTGCTTTGTTTCACACCTGCACCAGGTGAGGGACAGCAGTTCACAAGGTCTGTAAGTGCCTCTCAACTGAGGGGCAGAAATTAAGACACCAAAGCACCACTCGACATAGCTAGATCATAACTTTTAATCTGTTAACTCTGCAAGCTATATACAAAGCAAGCACTCTGGTGAAGGAAGAAGATGAAATTCTGGAGGAGAACGATCCCCAAGTATCTTAATCCTTGAGATATAAAAAGCTGCCAAAGACCTGAAATGGAGGCAGCAAATATAAACCTCACAATGCAGTTCAGGAGCTCCCTTCATGAAGAGAGTCACAAGAGTCACCCACAATGTGATGTAACCTTTGTGGACTGACTAAATCCAGCAAGATCACTGGGCACTCTACCAATGATCTTAAAAATGGATCTATGAGGAAAGTTAACAACTGAGACTAGGAACAAACACCTACTAACTATTCTTTGGTAATTTACTCACCTTGAACTAACATCAGCAGCACTGATGAAGGAACTGAACAAATGGACTCACTTCTTTACTGCAATCCCAGTAAGCGCCAGAGGAGAGCACCAGCAGTTCTCCCGAGCAGACTTGACTGTACAAGGGAGAAAGCTGGAGGAATTACAGGAATAAGGTGTTTGGTGAAGAGGGAGAGCACCACCCTCATTGCTGTGCTCACAAGCCAACATTGCAAAGCAGCCTCTGATTCCTCAGGAATGTCCCATCACATAACACCCAGCTATTACTGAGGAGTTGCTACCCAGTGCTCACAAGCCAGGTATTACCGCACCCATAATTTAGTCACTGGTTTGATTACCTGTTATTATGAATATTGAAAATACAATACCCAAAGATACCCAAATTAACATGGTAGTCTACTGAAAAACGCTGAGCAGCAGCAAAGAAGATCCCATATGACTGAGAAGTCAATAGCAGCGGGTTTGAAGGCATGTTATGATTTAAGTTCTTTTCTTCAAATGAGATAAACCAGAGTGTCTTCCCTCCAAGGAACAGACTGTTTCTGTACAATGCCATCAGTGAAAGAAGTACAAGGACAACTGCCCAGTTCCCAAGTCTGACTCAGCCTCCAACTTCTACCCAGTTTAAGCAAACTGAAGGTCTTGAGCACATCACCTTTCTCTGCCTCAGTTTCTAACACTGATTGGAACAAAATATGTGACCGACCACAAAATATTCTGAAACTCAACATCTGTATTGCTATAAGTTTTTAAAACCACTGAAACATGCTAGAAATTAAGATTTTTCAGGCCCAATTTGCTTGTGTGTTACCAGCATCACCTACTTTGTTTCCCTTCTCGGGGGGATATTCATACAGCAACAAAGACGGCTCCCTTCCCATGAGAAGTTACCTTGGCAAGAAAGAGCCCTGACAGCAGAAATATGTGAGACTAGAGGAATTTTACATCATTGTCCAGATCTCTCTGAGAATTGTCCAGGGTAGAAAAAAAAAGGAGGAAGAGGGCACTCACAATATCAGGCTCTAAGACCACATATCAAGGTACTTGTGGAGATCAGAGTCAGCAAGGAGGGACAATTTCCAGTGGTGCCTCCTCAGTAACTTAGAGACTGCAGAAAAAGTGGCCTTCATGTTTGAAAGCTGAAGTTCTGTCCATTCAAATACCTTTTCTTCCCCCTCATCATGACCTGGAATATGCTTCAATCAACACAACAATATCAGGGCTAGCATTTCCAAACCAGGAGTTGTCCTTTGGCACTGTAGACATGAAGTGCCTATCTATTTCCCGTTGTTGTTTTCTGGAGGACACTCAAGTAGACTCAACTGTCTACCTTCTTTAGAAAAACAAAACAAAACAAACTTCAAACCAAGCTCAATTAAAAAAGCAGAACATGTTCCCTATAACAGAGTGATCTTACACAGTAGTCGCAGGAGTAATCCAAGAAATACAAATCCTGCCACACTTGACCAAGACTTGTTTTTCTTTGTATACTTTCACTTTTCTAAACCAAAAAATATCCAAAGGATTAAGCTGCCACCAAAGAACAAAACAGGCACCATTATGACACCTTTAAAATGAAATGATGAACAACTCTAAGTAAAATGTGCAACCCTAACTCTTGACTACCCCATGGTATATAATTTGCCCTCTTTGGAGAAAAGCCTGGCTAGCTGAACACACAGCACCATGAACTGCCGCAGCTTAAACAACCAGCCCACAAGGGAAGTACCATTATGAAACACTGGAAGATGATGTGTTTGTGAAGCACCTGTATCAGTGCTCAGTGCAAATTACACTTCTGGGACAGGAGCACATCTGGGAGAGAGCTCTTCGCTTGCCAGGCTTTCCAGCCGGATGGGAGGGAACTGCATTCTTTGCAGGATTTCCATGCAGGTCTCCTTGCCAACTGGAAATTAGGCCTGAGGCTCACTGCTTGAAATTACTGAAGAAGATACTGAGTACGAAGACAAGAGGGACTGCAAAGACAAGGTACAGGCTCTGGGCTGTCAGCAAGAACCGCAGTGGTACCTGTGATCTCCACAGAGACAGGAAAGCAGAGCATGTCCCAACCTTGTCTTTCCCCTCAGCTTCAGCCAACTCCCTGTTTGTCACCAAAGCAGTGAGGTCCAGGCACACTTTGCTTCACTGGAGTCAGGGGAAAGGCATTCATCCCAGCAGAGGAGAGAGGCATCAGTAACAAGCTGAGAGTCTGGTGCCTGCCAAAGGGAGGAGCACCTGGAGACCTGCACTTTAGCTGGGTATTGAGTAAGACCACCACCCTCGGATGCACATGCTTCACAGCTGGACCTGAAGGGCACTGGACCTGTTCTCACCTCCCAGTCCCACGTGAAGTTCACGGGAGCCTGGAAGCAGAAGGTAGCAGGGGATTTGGGGAACGCCCGAGCCTCTCCTACAGTATATGTGGCACAATGTGGGCTGACACCGAGCTATCCTCCTACATGGAAAGCTTCACACTTGCATTAGTTAAGTCCAAGATGCACTCTTTAATCTTGTAGAAAAAAAATTAGTTTATTTATTCCATTGGCTTATTAGAGCAGGTGGCCAACCAGAACAGCAAAAACGGGAAAAATTTCCAGAACCTGGCATAAAAAAAGGGTCCTGGGTTTTTGGGCAGTTTAGGAAAAGCTCATGAGCTACCCCAACAGCATAGTCAGAAACCATGGCTCATCTGGAAAACAGATAAGATTTAGTTCATTTTGAATAACCAGCCCCCGTTTCCCCTCAGCACCTCTGCAGCCCTCAATGTAACCTCACCCTGCTACAGCCACGCTGCAGAACAGCCTTTGCAAACTCCAGCTGCGCAAAAGCTGATACCTGGGACGCGCAGTGAAGAAACAAAAGATCAGTTTTTGCTCCTGGCACTGCTGAAAACCACCATTCAAATACAAATGCACTTTTTAGAACTCCTGCACTTTGGACATGATGGGCAATACCCTGGGGGAATCTGTGCCTGGGCTCCAGTGAGTACAGCTTAAAATAACCATATCACTCTACGTAAAAACAGTGTCATTAGACTTGTACTTTTAAAAAATAAGATCAATCCAGGCCAGGGCCAGGCTCTGCAGATAAAGTAGTAGCTTATCTCTTATAAATACTTTTAATATTTTTTAATTACAAGTAGTCCTCACTCCAGGTAATGTAACTGACACGAAGTACCTGCACACACACAGCCCCCAGACTTTCACAGAAAGCCCAGGAGCAACCACTCTATAAGAAAGGAATCCTACCTCACAGCAAAGTAGGGGAGGGGGCACATGGCCAAGACAGCCTAAATGGGGGGGAAAGAGTCATTTGGAGTAATTACAATAAAAAAGGACTTCAAAACCCCTTCATATAAAGGATCAAGGAGGTTAAAGCAAAAAACTGGTTCAAAAAGATGTACAAAACTGTTGGAGACCAACAGAAAACTCTGCCAAAAAATAACTTGCGCTTAAATCAGGGATCAATGGCATCACACAATTTTGTTGTTAAAAAAAGGAAAAGAAAAGTGGAAATCTGTGTAAAGATCAGCATTTATGAAGAGTTATCATTAGCTCCAGAGACCAGCATAATTCCCATGAAGTCCTGATGGAAGGGGGCCTCCTGCCACAAAGAGTTTCGTTCCAGACGAGTCGTAGCAGTGGGTGTAAACAGCATTTGGGAAGTAATTTATATCAGAAAAATAATTCCTCCAGGTTTCATCATGGTTCTGTTAAAGGAAAGTTTAGATCATTATTGTTGCCAAACAAACCCAATACCCTGTTTCACAAAAGCAGAAAGTATCTTTCAGAGCCTAAAATGAGGTATTTCCTCTGAATGTTCCTGAAGCTTCATATAGATCAACTAAAAGATATCAGAGTTGTCCTGAAGCCTTTTCTGAGGACATTTAGGCCAAGCACTGTAAGAGGGAGGTGAAGGGTAGGGACATCAAAATGATATAAAAGGTAATGGAGCTAAGTTAAGCAAAGCCATTAACTGCTTTATGATAACATATAGGAAACTGAACTCAAGTGCCTGCCACAGCATTACCTCAGGAAGCCACAGTTTCTAAAACTGCACACAAATTTAATCTCTCTTGCTCTGAGTACCGCATTAGATTAGCACAGCTTTAAAGGAAGACTATTTCTGTTTGAGGTTCTGAAAATTAGGAGTTAGATTACATTTGAAAATATAAAAACATTAAATCTAGTTCACCTATGAATCAGTGTGTAAGAACAGAAGTTAGTATGCCTCACACTCAGGCATTTAACCTTCAGCACCCCTTCCTAAAGCTTATGTAGAAAGTAATTCTGCAGCACTTCTTGCTTTTCATTCTTAGTTATTGGTTACATGATCCCTGTTTGACTGGGGCACGTTTCACACCACAGCTCTCGTTACCACAAGAAGAACAGGCTCAAGCCCCACAGTATTCCTATGTAAAGGGTCTACTACAGTTACAACCTACTCACCAGCCAGCCTTTCCCAGTTGTCAACTTCAAAATTTCACCTCCTCCTAATTTTTGCTTCGATCCATAGCAGGCACGGGGGGGCTTTTCATCCAGGAACCTCTGGGCTCTGATATCGTAGAACAACAGGGAACCTTGCCCCGTTCCCACGGTGATGATGTGCTCGTAGAAGCTCACCGACCGGATACCTGTCAAACAGAGAAGGGACAGACAGAGCAGTAAGGGAGAGGGATGCTTTGGCTCTGCAGGGCTGTTGTTTCATGTCTAACACTACCTTCCAGTGTTCTCCACAACTGCTACGGAGCAGCGCAGACAGATCCCACTGATACTGCTGAAACAGCAGCTTTGATGACACACACTAATGCCCTGCTCCTCTGAGGCCACTGGCCGCACCAGGGGGACACAGTAAGAACCTTCACCTTCAACAGGCCGCAGCTCTGCCAGATAAGCCATTTAGGGTCAAGAGCATCTTTGTTCTGTATGTAGGAATCTGCAATTTCCAAAGTGTCCTCTCATCTCTATTATTGTGCAAAAAGGTTTGTTCTGTGCAAGGACTCTACTCCAAACAACTCTTCAGTGCAGATTAAACTCCACCAGATCTGCGCTTCTCCTTCCTGCACAACGTAATGCCAGGTTAAAAACCCAAGGGCTTTTTAAGCCTCTTTGAAGTACCACTGAATTACAGCCTAAAGAAGCATCTAAACAGGAGGGGAAAAGAGTGAGTTCTGCCAGCTACATCCACATGCCAAATGTCACTGTACCGAGTGGGACTGAACTTGTAACATCCTGGAATACATCAAGCAGTGCATGGGACAGACGACACCTGGGAGCTGCAGGTACAGCCAGGGAGTTCCCCCTTCCCCTCTGTAGAGAATCCTAACTAAAAACATCCTTCCACGGGCACCAGCACCCATGACACACACTTAGAACAGGTAAGGCCACACTGCCCTGCTCCAGGTATGAGGTAAAGTCTTGGCTGCAGGTTTAATAAGTGGGAAACTACTGTGCAAGTCACCCCTGCTGAAGGAGATTTACCAGATTCATGTCAGAATCTCCACTTTAACTCAGAGAATTACAAATGCACCTGAGCAAGCTGCAGACTTCCTCCCCCCACCCCTAGTACATGAGCCTGGCTCTGGCAAACACACTTCAAGCCCTCCACAGTCAGCAAGAGCAGTCACTTAGATAAAAGGAGAAAGGCACAAGAGTGGACTTCCTCTTGTTTTTGCTTTAGAAGTGCTCTTGACAAGCAAAACCAGAAGAACATTTACTTCACAGAAACAGGTGATGGAGTATGAAGGCAGATGGCATATACTTTTCAGTGGAATTTGTTAATAAAAAGCTGTAAAATGAAGAATACCTGTGGATATTTCTCTAACCAAAAAACTTAAGTGATGTACCCACTGCTAATAGGATATTTAGAACAGGCTTTCAAAAACAGCTCTTCAAATTGGCTCCTACGGGGCTGAAGAACCCCAGATTAACAATTCCTATCGAACTAAAAGCACAACCTGTGCCTAGAGCTGATCACGGTAAACTCTCCTACATTCTCAGCACTCTACCACCTGTGGACCTGGGCTATTTAGGTGAGCAAATCCAGCCCCACTTTTAAGTGGTAGATCTCAGAAGGAAATGCAGATGCAGTGGCATGTCCTACACAGGCAGCAGACACAGAGTCATAGAATTATAGAATCAGATGGGTTGGAAAGGACCTCTGAGATCATCAAGTCCAACCCCTGATCCACTACCACCACAGCAACTAGACTATGGCACAAAGTGCCTCATCCAGTCTCTTCCTCAACACTTCCAGGGATGGAAAATCCACCACCTCCCTGGGCAGCCCGTTCCAATGCCTGATTACTCTCTCTGTAAAGAATTTCCTCCTAATATCTAACCTAAACCTTGCCTGGCAGAGCTTGTCTTTACTGACGGCTGCCTGGGAAAAGAGATCAATCCCTGCCTGGCTACAGTCTCCTTTCAGGAAGTTGTAGAGAGTGAAGAGGTCTCCCCTGAGCCTTCTCCAGGCTAAACAACCCCAGCTCCCTCAGCTGCATTAGCACTGTTGACTGCAGGACACAAAGTCAAGAGCACAGGACACTGCTCTGCCACATGAGCAGAGAGCAGCTGCTTTTGTGGATCAAGACCTACAGTCCAGGTCTGCACTTCCCTGCACAGCTCTAAGAAAAGCAACACTTACAAGATGCACTAAAAAGCATTCACTGCCTCCTCAGGTAAAGCAGACAGGGTTCAACAGGGAGAATCAGCTCCAGTTCCAGTCTTGCTAAGCCACAACCTTTCTCTGACCTGCTTTTGTGTACAACAGCAGTGAACCGAATGAACTTACCACATTCACCAGGTGCTCTTGGAAACTTAAAGCACATTCAGGTACTACTTCAAATCACTTGAAGTCAGATTTTATTCCACAAATCAATAGAGACCCTGCTCTCCAGAGGTGCTGCACCATTCCAAGCCCCAGGGAGATCGACAGATAGATGAAACACTCAGTACCTTGGGAATGATTGTTATTTACGTGCCTCCACCACCAAGCCAAATAAAAAGATCCAGCTACTGTGCAGCACAGAAAACAGCACTGAACAAAGGCCTCCTCCAGACATGAACCAGAGATGCCCTGGAGATACTCTCTACACACAAATTATCCCCCCAGCAGGGATGGTCACATACTCAAGCCAGAATCTTTCAGCCACCACTGGCAGCAGGTCAGGACAAGGAGCGTTGCTGGTAAGATGTGTGAGGTGATCTTTCCTGACGTGACAGATACTTCTCCCGCATGTGAAAGAAGCAGACCCTGACACCGGTCTAGACAACACTGTTCTCTAACTACATATGTAAAATTTTCCTAAATCCTTGCCTACGTATATCCTCTTCTGGTAACTTGCCCAAGGAAGAGGTGGATGTCCAAAGCCAAGCTATGTAAGGACTGCAACTTATTAGTCTGGGATTAATATGGCACAGTGCCTTCTCATGCCTGATAATAAAGGGTATGGTACAAAGTTTATGGAACCATGGATCCTGCAAGCCCTCAGGTGAAAGGTTCAATTGCACACAATGCCTTCATGTGAGAAAAAGAAACAGCACTCAAATTACATTGAAAACCAGGAGTTTCACTCATGTCTGTAAAATTACAAAGCAAGGATTCCCTCACAGCACAGACTCCCAATACGATAGCACAGAGCAGACAACATGCCTTCTTTTCTAACTCCCAGAGAAAAATGCAAGAACAGTATAAAGAGTGGCAAAAAGACTAGATTTGGTCCTAGATGAATTAAAATAGAATAAGACACAGTAAAAAATATGCTGAAGTAAAATGCACACTTTTAAAAGTCCAGTAACATTCAAATGGGTTATAATTTAGTTGATAATAAAGGCACTGATATTGCCCCTTCCTTAGATTTCAGAGCTGCTGTCACATCTGGTGTTGGTTGCTTGTGGAACACTGTTGCGAAAGCAAAGCCTACATATATACACTATTAGTTATTTAGCCTGCCACAGGAAAAACCCTTCCTGTTAATTAAAATCTTGACTTACTGCAGTCTTAACAGCTACTTCTGCAAGAAAATCATTGGAAGCACCTCTTGACAGGTTTCTTACCACTGCCTCGTTCTTTGGAACAGACGGATTTAACATTGTGGGAAGGCTGCCTCGGGTCCAGAAACGAGACATGTGCCTGTGATCCTACTGCATACACTGACCACTCCTGGCCATAAGCCAAACACACGTTCTCCCTGCAGTATGGCAACTTTGTGGAAAGTAACTGGAAAGAGAAAACATAAAAATCAATCCGTTACAACAGTAGGATGTCAATAGAACAATACTGTAAGCTACGTTCAAGGAAGCTGCAGTGAAAAAAAACTCAAAATGCAGCTGAAAAATAAGTTGACTGCAAAAATATAACCTGACCCAGAGGACAAAAAAAAACAACCTGAAAGCAGTGGGGTGCCTTATCTGAACAAACAGAAGAGTACCTTTGATAGTGTGAGCTCCGCTTTCCAAAGATGAAAATACCCATCCAGGGACACTGCTCCCAGCTCCTATTAAAAGGAGAAAGAAAAAAAAAAAAAAAAAAGAGTTAGTTTCTGTATTACAGATGTCCTTACAAACTCACTCTCAACTATGCAAGTTGCACACTCTGGACTGAACTCATCCACAATCCTGTACAGGCTTTATCAAGACACATTTTCATTTTATAGTGTTCTTTATAGAATACAATACAGTACAAAGATGCCAGGCAGAATAACAATTAATAAAAGCGTAAATAAGAAACAACAACTTTCAAAACCGTAAATGTTGTTAGAAAATTAAATAATGTGTTATTAGACAGCACAAGCTAGAGGTGACATCTCTCTTCAGCAGGTCCCACATTGATTCTAACCCTGAAGAACTAGAGGCACTATAGTGAAAAAGCTTCACGAAATCTCCATCCCAGAGTAGTAAGTAACTAAAGTAGCTACTGTGAAAAATACAGCCTACAAGGAACACTGTGCTTCTGAGAGCACACCCACCTTCGCTTCAGACCTTCTCTGTTCTTTGAGGGCAGGGAAAACAAAAGCGGGGAGGATGAACTGCTACTCCCACTAGTAATAACGGGAGATTAGCATGGGGGAGGTTAGCGTTTAGCGTTTGCCAAACACCAACAAAATCACACCAAAGCGAGCACTGGTGCCTGCCCTGTGAGTCAGGCACCTCACCTGCCCAGCAATCCAGAAAGGACTCAAACATCAAAACAGGAACTGCTAAGAGTTAGCTGGTCTTCACAAAGGGGGAAGGAAAGCAGCAAGAGCACTCAAGAATTGAGGATTCAAGCTGCAAGAGATGTTTTGGCACTTTATTTGCGTCTTGCAAATACTCCTTGTCTCCCCTGCTTAGGAGGCCTGCAGGCATCCTAATCAAACCCACAGGAAAATTGTGCCTTCTGAAAACATCTTTTTTTTCTCCTAGATTCCTCCATTCACTTGGGACAGAAGCAAACATAGCAGGTGAAGACAAGAATGCAAAAGGATCAGAGAAAAAAAATATTAGCTTGCTTCTCCAGTACATTCAATTTAGATTACTTTTTTTTTTTTCTAATACATAAGGACAGTTTTGGGACTTCTCAACTGTCTTACTTATCTTACTGACCTTGTTCTTATTGTTGAAGGCCAATGCTCGGACTTTGCAGTTGTCAGGATTGGTGTTCTCCTTGGGGATGTCCTTCAGAGCACTGTGTGTTATGTGGGCATAGACAGGAACTTGGGAGAGGTTATGCCTGGCATCACTTTTGGACAACACATCCTCCGTGACTTCCCAGAGACCCATCGAACCATCCCGGGAACCTAATCGAATAGTCCATAAATAAACAGTCCATTTCACGTACACGTAACTCCCCTCTTTAAAAAGGAAGAAACAGTAGGGTCTGAAAGAAAGGATACTACTAATTTAATCTAACTGAACACACTGTTGGTGCCCATGTATTAATTAACAAAGATGTGATTTTACTGAGCTCCAAAGCTCGTAACGTTTGAACTCATTATCAGCTGTTTGTCTTTCCAAGCCAATGGAATCACCTCATCTGTTTCCAAGCTAAATCAGGATGCATCAGAAACCACCACCCTGTACAAGAATCACCATTAGAGATTCACACATGGAATGACTTGACTCAGAAGTGACTGAATAGCCTTTGGGTTCAGCCTGAGCCTGGTGCACCAAGGCCAAGATCGACAACCTGTTAAACCAATGCAAAAACCCCTCCAAAACTCAGTTGGGTTTATGCCTATTTGGGTTCAGTTGATTTCTATCAGAATGCTTATGGACAAGCACACACTCATTCTTGAACTGAACAGAAACAGCTATTTCAGAGCACAATTTGTACCCCTTTGAATGAAATCTATTTTAAAAATTATTTTGCTAAAATGGGCCACTCGTTTAAAGAATGTAACATAGGACCTGAGGTTCAACAAGAAAGAACTCATTTTACTTTTTTTACTGAATGTGATGACATTACTCCAAAATATGAATCACTAACAGCAGCAATATCGGATGAAGAAAGCTGAATGTCCCTGGTTCACAGATCAACACAGTCCTAATCCAAGGCCTTATACCCATCCCTTCTGGTGTTTAGGCAACTCACTTCCATCTGAGTCAGCTCTGACAGATTTGACAGGTACCTCAATTTCTTTTCTATGTGAAAAATATATGCCTCCTTCTGTCAAAGGGAATTCATAATGAAGATGCCAGAAAAGACTAAGTATTTACACCAGACTCTTAAATTAACTGGCTTTGCTACATCACAGAGAAAAAGCTGCAAAGACAGTTAAGCAGAACACCTTGTTACAATATGGATTGTCCAGCACAGGAGAAGCGGTTTTGCTTCCTCATGGATGGATTCAGGCATTTGCTGCTATCACCTACTAGAGACAAACACAAAAGGAGCATCCTAATGGCACCTGCGTAGCAGCAGGCAGCACGCGACACAACATCCTGCCACTCCACTCTATGCCACTGGTTTTAATGCCACCTAATCTTCTTCGTCATGGACGCTGAATACTCAGCAGTAGAATTTCTGAAGGTCTAGAGGTGCTGTAGGATGAAGCTCTCCCTGTTAAAAGCCCTGTCAGTCTCCCCTGGCAGGGGAAAAGGCCCATGTATGTTGTTCAACTGGTTAGCCCTGAAGCCAAGCAGAGTATCATTTGCTTCCCTAAAATCATGACATCCTGGGGATTATTCATCTCATCCAAAGCTCTTGCCATGGAAATCTTTTTGCCCAGCCAGCACAGTTAAGTGGACTTGTATTTCTCTTTTAGCTATGGCTGCTTAGTCAAGAATTTGACTTATGGACTAGACTTATGGACTACTGAAACAGACTGCTAAAGGTTTTACAGAGTCCTGCCCTGTTCTTGTTGAAGTTAAAACAAGCACAAGGAATAATAAGCCCCCAGTCCTCTTTCAACAGTTTTGACTGCAGCAAGAAAGGCGTTGTCCAATCTCTTAACCAGACGGGTGTGATCTGCCACGGGGTCAAAGGACTCTTTTCTTCCTGTGACATTTAACTTGCCTCAAGAAAGTAACAAAAAATTTGCATTTAGTTTTTTAAATCAGATAAAATTATTTCCTATACCCTTGATGTCTGGAGTTCAAGTATTTCTACTCTGTATTTTCAGATACAGATGGAATCGAAATCTACAAGATTAAAACCATGTCAGAAGTTCACTGTCTTTTTTATCTCTTAATTAGGGTTGTCTGCGAGCTCTGAAGAGATCAGTTTAGCAATCAGTCTTGCTTAATTACTTTCAACAAGTTTTCCCTGGTGTCTCAGATCTGGAGACTGGAAGCTACGTCCTGCCTGCTGCAAGGACCACACATGCAATTTTGCTGAACTCTGAAGTTCATAATGTTTGAGAACACACAGAACACAGCAGCCTTTTACTCACACATCCACCTCTCACCTTTGGAACACATTGGGAGCTGTGCATTCCACTGGATCCCTATCTTTCCTTCCCTTGGATATCTGTAATCATCTTCAAGCTTACTAGCTGATAGTGCGGGATTTTTAAATGTAGATATTTGGGGTAGAGACTTGAAAGGATCAACTTTCATGTTAAACTCAAAAATCAAGTTCCAGGATTGACTTTTTGATTTTGGAAAACAAAAACTTCTGCTGAACAACACTAACAGTTCAAGGGCTTGACTTTTATGTAAGACTGTTATGATTTTCTGTCACCTGCAGCTTGACAACTCTGCGTGCAGAACACAACTACACCCTGTCAGCACAGGAAGGCACTGCTAAATTAGTGCAATGGCCTGTTAGTATTGCTGCCCTTTTCTAACTAATATTTTATGGAGTTACACTGATTATCCAATTAGTTACTAAACAGTCAGTAACTGAGTTTTCCTATTACGTGAACATATACATATATACACACACACAACTGTACTGATAGCTTGAAAAAAGAGAGTTTAATTAGTCTGTCACAGGACTTCGGGAAACTGATATTGCTCTGCAGTATTCCAACTTATTCCAAGTTATCAGTTATCAACTGATAACTAAAACTCCTCTTGAAAAGATTCCTCTTATGTGAAACCCTTTCCTGTAACTTGTTGTGTTTAAAGATCCCCTCATGGCAACACCTACTAGAAACACAGGAATATTCTCTCTGATCCTAAGAAAAATCAAATCTAGATGAAGTGTTTAAACACCCTCGGTAGTTCTAAGTGGCTTTAAATGCCCTGACAGAGGTGCTTTCTGAAGACTCATAAAATGTTGTAATTCAGCATAAAATTCTGGAGAGGAGGAAAGCTTAAAACAAAAAGTGAAAGGCAAAACCCCCACCGACCAACCAGAAAAACAGGAATAAAAATTTGACTTTACCAGAAACAGCCATAGTATCACTGATCCACGCAATTGAAAATATCCAGTCCTTATGTCCATCCTAAAAGAAGAAAGACAGATTTTTCTGTGCCATAATACTCTAGAGTAGTCTCAAAGCAGACAAGTGTTCTCCACCTGGATTTTTAGTTCAAACTCAGAAAGACAGACTTGCACTAAAAAAAAGGTTCCAGTATCAAGCTGGAGCAGTTTAAGTACCTAGCAGTAACTTTGACTTATTGGGGTTTGAAGTGTATAATTAATAGAGAGCAACCAGGTGTTGGAAAAAGAGGCCTCTGACCAAGGACAAACTGATCCCAGTTCTAAGGACTCTGATTTTCCATTTCAAAAGCAGCATTCTTTACTTCTGCAAATGCACATCCTAATATAAAAGTAACCAAAATCTTGTGTTTATGATACATGATCTACAGACTAATGTTTCAAGAATCTCTTCTTTAGGAAGTGAAAAACGTGTGTGTGGAAAAAAAAAAGACCACAAGGCTCTAGTTCTGTCTGAAAAGATAAAAAGTCATGCAAATGAAGAGCAAGTCACGCAAATCTTCAGAGTCAGGCCTTGCTGCAGCTGGTTATCTGCTGCTGCAGAACTCTGACCCAACCTCTGCTGCTGTGGCTAACGCCCCTATGAAGTCCTGAATAAAAAGGAGAAATGAGAGAGAAGCACTCACAGGACACCACTCTACTAATTTCAAGTTTTTTTAAAAGACTGGCTGTTTCAAAAAAAGGCCTCAGGACATTTCAGAAATAAAACCAGTACGAGAGCCTACCAAACTGCCACAAGCCACTGAGTCAGAACTAACCTTCAAAGTCAAGTTTCACCTCTGGAATACATCTGTAAGCTGCACTGGATAAGGGGAAAATCTGAACAACTTGCATCACCTTTTAAATTTCCCAGAAGAGCTTTTTCACTGTAACTAGCTTGAGAGGTCATCACCACAATTGGACTTTAGCATTTAGGACCTTTTACATTTTCAGAGCTTAAAGGTGATCTGAAATAGACCCGAATGAGGGTGAGGAAGGAATCTGACTCAGAATCCTGAGAATCCACCCACATGTTTATGTACTCACTCAGATACTGTGTCAAAAATGACAACTCAATGTGGAACATTTTCAGGCTTTCAGCAATTTACTCTCCATTACAACACTCCCAAATCTTAACCTTGCTCCGGCCTTACCCACTTCAAAGTGGTGGTTCCTGTAAGTGACAGAATAAACCTTCCCCAGGTACTCCCACTTACATCTCCCACACAGACAGGATCGAGTGTAGGCAGGCGATAAATTGCAAGACTGTTGGGGTTGTCTCCACCTGTGGCCAGGAGGGTCCTCGAGGGGTTGAGCTCGATGGCATGAATGCCACATCCCTGCTGGTTCACCATGCCCGGTTCACGATCCTTCAGAATAGGAATCTTGGTAATTTGACCAGTCTGGACATCGACTACAAATAACTGGGGAAAAAAACCAAACAGACAAGTTAAGTCGGCGTGGAACAGATAAGAAAAACAAGATGGTCAAATATCCTCCCTATTTTGAACTGATATTCTTTTCTAGTTGAAATATACAAATACTTCCATTATGGCTGAAAAATGCACAAATTCCTTCTCAAACCCAGTAAACTAACAATGGCAGTGGGTTTTATTTCAATCACCCCATTTGATTTTCACAGCAATGAAAGGGAGAAAAGAGAAATCTGTCATATGAGGCTTCCTATTTAACAAAACCCTTGAATATAAATTTTTTCCCTGTTGAGTATGACAAAACAGTATTTTTTTCAGGTTCCCTGTGCCACAGTGAGAAAGAGACCCACCCCAAAAGAGCCAGTAAGCCCCACAGGGCTCAGAACAAGTCTCTTGCCTCCCAGAGAAGACATAGTGAAATTTTGGCTTTGGCAGACCGACAGTTTATAAATCTGTGCATTTGGAGTTTATTTTCTGACAATACACAGGAAATGGTAACTAAATACAGCACTGCCAGCACAAACACCTGAAAAAAACATACCTAGCTACATAACTCATCCTGCAAAAGGTCTACTAATTGGAGTAGATGTCACTGTCCTTGTCAGAAAACTCTGTTATGAAGCCTTACAACTCTTCCAACAGACATTGTAGCCAGAGCTATGACAGTTCAAACATATACAACCACGGGGTTGTAGTTTAAGCCAGAATAAAGGTTTACATCCACTGCCAAAGTGCACTTTCATTTGGGAGGTTCTTGGGCTGGGTCGTTTCACAGATGGTGTTCAGAGGGCAGCTGCACCAACAGTCAAACATGTCCCACAGAGGACACAAAGACTGTGAGGGAACACAAGTGAAGCAAGGAAATGGAGGACCTGAAGCTGACTTGGCAGAAAGGAAAATGATGTAGAATCATAGCCTAGGATTATAATTAAATTTCACATCACCTTAAGTCTGTTCCTTCTATAACCAAAGAACATTGTCCCCGAGCCTCTGGAAGTGAACCGGAGACAACAATAATAACAAAAAAATCTCAATACAGTTTAAAAGATAAACATCTCCAGGAAATGTTCTGCAATTGCCAGACATTTCTAGAAGGACAGAATAAAAATCTAGGGGTTCTCAGAGATAAGTTATACATAACAAGCTGCTTTTGGTGAACTCTTACAGACTGCAGATCTGTTCTTTAACAGAATGATAAGGGAAAAAATCACCCAAATAATTTAGAATCATATTTATTACTTGATGTACTGAACTAGTAGAATATTAATGTCAAATAAAAGCCTGATAAAGTATGGTACGTTGAACACATTCCACAGAGAAAGCTGAAATCTGTTAATTGCTATTTGTGTGTTGTGTCTAGAATTGTGCATCACCTTCAACTCACAGTGATTTTCTGCTGTCAGCAGCAGCCTAGAACAGACTGATCCTACAAGGACTGCATTTTCATGGTTACTTCTTTACTCTGCATGCAGGAGTGGGGTATGACAGCGGCTGAGATGCAGCTGAGTTGGAGGGAGGCACTCCTCGCTTTTCCCAAGCCTTACAATGCAGTTCACAGCCTGAAGACACCTGGTGAAAGGTCTGAGCAGTAACTGCTCCCCGCCTTGGTAAGGAACTCTGGGTAGTTTAAAAACAACCACCACCTCCCTAGAATAAAACAAGCAAGCACTGTCTGTTTGTACTGAGACTCTTGCATCACATGGGGCAGGACAGGAAACCAGAAGCTTGCACTTGAAAGTTGTACCACTGTCTAGAAATCTTCCCTGTAAAGCCAGCACAATAAGCCAAGAGAAGCCAAACAGTTGTTAGACACTTCTAAAGTCATAAAGGGAGAAACGCTAAGAAACAAGAGAGGCACCCAGATAAGAGTGCAGAAATGAATACCATTTGAAGAGATTTAAAAACTCTAAAGTAAATAAAATACAAAATATTTGCTACTCTTGAAATAAGTACATCTGCAAACAACTCCAAAGCAGCCTGGACACGAAGTCTTGACAATGTCCTGATAACCTACAGTAATTTTCTGTGTTATCTCAAGCAGGAATAAGAATTTTTTTCACTGCTACTCATACAGAAATGAAAAACCAGCCCGCAAAGTTTTTTCTGCATCTAATAAACCCCCATCAACCTCCAAACACTGAACTGTGCATATTTGTCTCTTGATTTCAAGCTTTGCACAAAATTCAGTTCCTCCTGCTAATGAAACATATTGCATGTCAGCCACTAGTGTGCCAAGTAAATTGACATCCAGGATTTCCCAAATCTGGATTGCTTTGGCCATCTGCCAGAAGTCCAAGGGCCACACCTCATCTGTGAGAAACATCAGACTCACTACAGTGTTCTCTGCGTGACAACCTTGTTCTAACAAGGAAACAGGCTGGATGACGCGGCAGAGAGAAATCCATCTTCCCTCTCTGGGTTTTTTAAAGCAGTTTAGACACACAGCTTGCAACAGTGCCATCGCTCCAGGATCAAGGCAGACAGGCGTGGCCAGGCACTGCAGCTGTCAGAGCCATGCATCTTCACGATTTGGCCCTACTTTGCACACCCCTTGAGATTAACAGCTCCGTGCTTACTTTTCTTTTGGCTTGCAGAAGCGGCAAGAAGTCATTTTGGCAAATGGCTCGCCTACAATTACTACGTGGCTTTCCTCTTCTCAACCTGCTTATTAACAAGTTAATCACGAAACTGCCCCACTCCACTGACTAAGGAATGTCATTAATCAGCTTGCCAAAAGTAAAGACGGTGGCAGGGAACAGAGAACTGGGGACCAGAGCCTGAACTGCAAAATCCATCCGTCTCTTACACGCAAAACTGAGAGCAGAATGGTTTGACAGGTTTGTCCATTCTTACATTTTTTGACGTGCCTTTCGGGAACAATAATTTAGAGGGGAAAAAAAACATCCAGAAAGCTAACAATTCATTAAAAATAAATTCCCTTCCTGTGTATCTTCAACTGAAAGCACTAACTTCAAACAGCAAGATGAAAAAAAAAAGAGGCCTATGAAATGCCATTTCAAGGCAGCACACAGACGCTCTCTTGTCTTCTGCTACTGCCCCTGCTCAAAGGACAGCAGATAAACAGGCAGCCCTATCCTATCTTTTAGTTGATTCTACAAATTAATTGGAACAAAAATAAGGGGTGCCACCCTGTTTTTATTATTACACAGAATCACAGGATATGATGAGTTGGAAGGGATCCACAAGGATCATGGAGTCCAATCCCTGCCCCTGAACAGGGCATCCTAAGAATCCCACCTGAGATCTTCTTGAACTCCATCAGCCTTGGTGCTGTGACTGCTGCCCTGAGAAGCCTGTTCCAGTGACCAGCCATCCTCTGGGTGAAGAACTTTTTTCTAATATCCAACCTAAACCTCCCCTGACACAACTCCAGGCCATTCCCACAGGTCCTATTGCTGGTTACCAGTGATACAGAGAGGAGATCACTGCAATGAGGTCTCCGCTCAGTCTCCTCTTCTACAGGCTGAACAGAACAAGTGCCCTCAGCCACTCCTCATAGGGCTTCTCCTCAAGGCCCTTCACCACCTTCATTGCCCTCCTTGGACACTCTCCAAGAGCTTGTTATTTTTCCCATATTGCAGTGCCCCAAACTGCCACAATATTCCAGGTGAGGCTGCAGAGCAGAGCAGGACAATCCCCTCCCTCGCCTGGCTGGTGATGCTGGGCCTGGTGCCCTCAGGACAGGGTTGGCCCTCCTGGCTGCCAGGGCACTGCTGCCTCATGGCCAGCTGGCCACTGACCAGGACCCCCGGGTCCCTTTCCACGGCACTGCTTTCAAGCATCTCATTCCCCAGTCTGTATGAACAATCGGGGTTGCCTCACCCCAGGTGCAGAATCTGGCACTTTCCCTTGTTGAACAGGAGCGGGATGAATGGACATTTACAAGGCACAAGGAATATTCATAAAAGAGACTTGCTCATTTTTCCTCCAAGAAGTGCTCTTCACACCCTGCTCTCAGAAGTCAGGGGCACATTCTTGTCATTCATACTAATGTCATTCACACATTTGAAAGAAACCCAAGATAAGCACACTGCTCTGCTAAAAATAGTCACTAAGAGGGACTCAGTCACAGCAAAGTTTCACAACTGGCTTAAGCCAATCTTCGAAAATCCAAGTGCCTCCTCCTCACCCACTCAAACAGTCTGATCACCCCTTTGACAGCAGCTAGTGCTCAGGTAGCTGCAGGGTCAGCTGGATCATATCTGTGCCTCTGGTGAAACTAACCCTACAGGAGAACCTGTCTGCTCACACAGCAGCAAGCTGACCCAGCTGACTCCCCTGATACAGGTACATCAGTGCCAGCCAGAACGAGAAGGTGGGAATATCCAGTGCTGCAACAGGACAACTCTGGACCAGCTGAAGCTGCTCACAAAAAGATCTCACCCTCAGCCCAGTTGGAAAATTAGCATTTGTCCTCTATCAAATAAATTTTTTGCTAACAAAACAACAAAACCAAGACAATGCTTATTTTGTCATTGCATTGATGCTAAAGCTGGTCACACCTGAGTAGCACTGATACGTTTTTCCCATTTCTCAGCCTTGACTCTTATTCAGACTGCAAACATTTCTCCTTTCTGTTCATAAAACGCTTGGCATCAGGTTCCTCTGGTTTGCGGCAATACAGACTTTCTAATACACGCCAAGCCCCAAAGAAACACAGACTCTTTAAAGACTAAACTATCAAACTGGTATCATATGTCTGCTTGCTGGTGAAGATCAAAATACAGAACCATAGGAGGGTTTGAGTTGTGAGGGATCTCTAAAGGTCATCTTGACCAAGCACTCAGCAGTGAGCAGGGACATCTTCACCTAGAGCAGGTTGCTCAGAGAGCCATCCAACCTGGCCCCGAATGTTTCCATGGATAGGGTATCCAGCAGCACTGTGGACAACCCACTCTATTGTGCCACCAGCCTCATGGTAAAGAATGCCTTCCTCGTATCTAGTGTGAATCTGCCTTCTTTTAGCTGAAAGTCATTACCTCTTGTCCTGCTGCTACAGGCTCGGTTCAATTTGTCTGTCCACATCCTTTTTACAAGCTCCCTTTAAGTACTGGAAGGTGCAATAAGGTAAGGTCTCCCTAGAGCCTTCTTCAGGCTGAACAACCCCAATAGTCTTTCAGCCTCTACCCATAAGAGAGCTGCTCCATCCCTCTGATCATCTCTGTGCCCTCCTCTGGACTCATTCCAACAGGCCCATGTCCTTCCTGTGCTGGGACCCCAGAGCTGGAGGCAGCAAAAAGGTATCAGCCAGCATTCAGAAACCAACCCCTGTACCCCTTGGAAATGCCACCTGGGCATTCAGTAAGATAAACACAAACACATCTATCAGGCCTGCCTGAAATAAGAAAAAAAACCCCATGAACTGAATTTCAGGCACTAATAAGCTCCACAATTGGGAAAAAAATTATATCCTGAATGCATATACATAACTAAGGGAACAAAAGAAGCTACAAAATGATTACTAAAACTGCTTTTCAGACTTTATATACTTTATTCTTTGTAATTTCCTGAAATAGTAAGGAGGAAAAAAAAAACCACAGGCCTCTTGTGTTCAGTGTTTTTGTTTGCCATAAGCTTGTCTTCTACCTAAGTCTCAGACTTTTTCTGTTCAAGAAGCTTGAACAGAAGATGCAGTTTACAGTCAGTATCTTCTTCTGAGACTTCATGGCATCAGCCTTTGGTAATTCAGATGCCTATCAGGACACCTCTCCTAAGTTCATGTGTTCCTTCATTTGAATTTGGAAAACACTGAGAAGCCCGCGCATGGAAGGTCTAAGAGATTTTTGCATTCAGGAATCCTGCCTCAGCAAAGTCCAAGTGATTGCATATAGGTCCCATAACTCTAAATCTATCAGAAAAAGGATGTACTTTTAAGAAACTCAAATATTTGATTTACAGCTGCTCAACTGTGAGCAATCCAGGATCCAGTGGAGAAGAATAAAGATATTTCATATACACAATCATACCCTAGGAGGGTTTTTAAGGATAAAAAGTTACCCAACATCACTAAACAAATTGTAATCTTCATTAAAAATGTGCAATTGATGGAGAGCTACATATTCTTATCAGTCTTTATAGTGACTAGCTCTGCCAGGTGACTAAACCCAATCCTCCTCCTTTACAACAGGAGTGTATTTTTGTTTTGTTATTAAGAATAGTGAATCCTTCTGGCACTGCACAGCCAGGGGCAATTTATAAATTACATGCTGAAAGCGTTCAGTGCCACAGTCAAGCTCTGATTAAAATAACTGCCACAGTTTATATTTTTCTGTTGCATTAACTTTAATTAAGTGCAACTCCAATGCAGCAAACCACACTGAAGTCAACCACGGTGTTTTTAGATTTACTCCCAACTTCGGCACATGAGAATCAGCAAAGGAATTTTTTCTTTATTAGGTCGCTCGCTCAGGAGATGAGAGAGAGGAATCTCATAATTAGAGTGTGGAGTTTAACGCTCTACTTGCTCAAATGTGGACACAAGGCAAACAAAGTACAACTATTACAGTGCTCATAACTCACACACCACCTTTCACAAAGCTGCAGTGACTTCTTTTTGCTCGGTGACAGACGAGGTCTGTCTGCAACGTTAAGTCTGGCTGTGGAAGCACACACTTGGTTGCAGCACGTGCAGAGGGAACAACAATACTGCTGAATCCCTCTCCAGCTCCACGATTGTTTGGTCCTAAACAATTTTCTGCAAGGTTGCGTTAACAACCCACTTGTCCATTTATCTTCACCGAAGCTGCGCTGGAGCTGCAAAAGCTACAGAACACAGTGAAATCACTGCAGCTCCATAAAACAGGCAGTCATCTTGCTAGAGTAAGCAAGATTTTTGGGAGCTTGCGTTTCAGCAGGAGTTTGTCTCCTGTAAGCTGCTCCGCGACCAGTGCTGGCTGCTGACTGGCTGAGGAGATGGAACACACGTGGAGAAAGTAGGCAGAGAGGTTCTATTTTGGGCTCATTGCTGTTAAAAGGTTGCTTTGTTTTTACAGTTAGGCCTTGCTTCTTAAGAGCTACTGCACGAGAGCCTCCTGCTGTGTAACTGTGAACATCTGAAATGGAAAAAAACCAGCCCACTGCCCCTTGCTGGTCAGAGCACTGAGTGTGGCTCTGGCACAAAAAAGGGAAATCGAGGCAAAGAACCAACCACAGCCACACTTTGAGGTTTAAGAGCTGCTTGATCTGTGCATTCCTTGCACAGCCTGGTTCATTTCTGTAGCACTAAACAACATGCAAAGGACCAGTTTCGGCTTTTGCAGTAATTAAACTGGAACTTCACACATGAATTTGCCTGGGTTACCAACTGAGGTGGAGAGAATCTCACCTAAGAAGTATCATCTCCTCTATTTATTAATCCACCTGGACACCGTTTTAATATTCCCCTAAAATGTTTCAAAGCATCACTTCAAGAGCCTGAGGAGCTTTCAGTTTTTGCAGAACTTCATATTTTTGCAGAACTATCTATATATAGATAGATAAAGAAGAAAAGCTATTTGAACACTGCAGTTTTAGAGTGAAGAATTACCAAGTCAATGAGCAAAAGGTAAGTCTGAAAATCTCAAATTCTTTTTTTAATGTTTAGAACATTGCTGGCTACTCTTTCAAATATCTGGAGTTCAAGTTTTATAACAACTTCTAAAAGTCATCAGCACAGAACTGTACGTAAAACAAAACTGTGTAAGACTAAGTATAAATGAAAAAAAGGACTTTTAGCAGCCAGTTTTGCCAGGCACTGACAGCCATCATTTAGAAACGCTAATGCCCATCCATGAACTTCCCACCTGCAGGACACGAGAAAAGATCCAACCCCACTGCTCCTCTCCATCCAGCAAAGGGACTTAAGTGGCTCTGCAGAGATCAGACAGGTGCTGTGTGCAGTGACTGCCACACTTTGAGACGACAACAGCTCGTCCCTGAGCACTGCCTTCACTCACAGTTAACTCTGCACAATTCTGACCCTGCTCCAAAGCACTTCCTGAAGTTTTCCTTGGCAGTCCACACACTTGGACTACACTAAGCACCATATGGGGAGGTGGAGCAATTGTCAGAGGGAAAAGCAATCCACGGGAGGCGGCACTCACCGTGTTGCATTTCGTCCCGCACACCACTTGCCGGTGGTTCAGCCACTGGGAGGCAAACACTTTATTGAGGGTTCCCAGGTGGAATTCTCTCTCCTTCAGGAGGCTGGGGAGCTGCTGGGCTGCGTATCCGTGCAACAGGCGGTGGTAGCTGGACTCATTCTGCATCCGGAGCTCCCTCCCTTTCAGGTAGTACACCAGGGACCTCTTCACCGGGGGGAGCCTCTTCCTTTTGTGCACCGAGTGATCCCACACATACTGCGGAAAATAAAGATGGAAACTGGATAAAGCGACTGGAACAAACTTTAGGCACCGCCCTCCGAAATTCAACGATATTCCCGGCGGAAAACCTGCAGCCTTCCAAACCACCCACGGAACACCCTGCGCGGAGATGAGCCCCGGAATGCCGAAAGGGCCCTTAGTAGCGTGGAATTAAACATATAAACATTTGCTAAGGGAGCAGTAACGCTGCGATGGCACCAACGACAGCCCGCGGCCGTTCGGCACGCTCGGCACCGTTCGGGAGCCGTTTGCTCGTGGAAACGGGAAGGGCGCCCGGAACGGGAGAGGGGCGGGTTTAGAAGTCGGATCCCGGGAGGTTCGGGGGTCCCACCCCGGGGGTGACACCAACCGCGGGGCCCAGTGGCCTCCTCCGGCCGGGCCAGAGCTGCCCGGGCACCATCGCTCCGTCGGGCCGGGGCACCGCGAACGGCCGAGCCCAACGGGGCCCCGCGAGCCCGGCGGGGAGCGAGGGGGTTACCCCGGGACGGGGGCTGTGCTGCCCGCCTTAAATCAGGGCCCGGGGCTGCTCCTCCCCCGGTGACAGCGGGAGCCGGGGCTGCCCCTCTCAGGTGACACCGGGGGTGACACTGGGACCCGAGGCTGCCCCTCCCCGGGACCCCGGCCCACCTGGGACATCTCCCCAAGTGACACTGGGACCAGGGCCGCCACCCTTCATCACCCCTTGCCCCCTCCCGGCACCCTCCCCAAGTGACACCCACCCCCGCACCAGGACACCACCGCCCCTGGACAGGGTCGCCCCTCCTCCCTCCCTCTCTCTCTCACTCCCTCTTTCCCTCCCCCGCCGGGGACCGGGCCTTATCCCCCTTCACCCCGCCGGGAACAAGCGCTTCTCCCGCCCCGCCCGCCCCCCCTCCCTCCTCACCTGCTCCCCCTGGAGCCCCCCAGGCCCCGCGGCGGCAGGCGCCGCCGCTTTCCGCTTCCTGCTAACTGTTTTCCGAGCCATAGCAGAAGGACGATGCTGCGGCAGCGGCTGCGGGCGAGGAGCGGCCCCACATGGAGCGGATCGGGGCGGTTCGGGGCATAGGGAGCGGGACCGGCCGGGCTCTGTCCCTCAGGCCCCGCCGCCCGCGCCGCACGGCATTTTACGGCACACCGAGGTTTTTTTGGCTCCTGTTTTTACGACAGTCTCGTCGCGGCTTTGCGGCGGCGGCGGCGGCCCTGCCACGCCCGCAGCGCCGTTGCCCGGCAACCCCCTGCTGCCGGGCTGGCCACGCCCGCTCGCCGTTGCCATGGCAGCGTCGCCAGCTCGCAGAGGGGTGGCGCCCCCTGGCGGCGGGGCGGGCTCAGCGCGGGGGTGGGTGGGATTCCCTCTGGGAAAGGGGGGAGGTTTCCCAAAACCTCAGAAAAGCGTCCCGTAACGGGGAGAGGGTCACCGAATCACAGAACGAAATAGGATGGAAAAGACCTCTGAGATCACTGAGTCCAACCTGTGACCAATCTGCCACCATGGCAACTAGACCACGGCACCGAATGCCATGTCCAGCCTTTCCTTAAACATCTCCAGGGACAGTAGCTCCACCGCCTCCCTGGGCAGCCCATTCCAGTATCTAATCAGCCTTTCTGTGAGAAAACTTCTCCTCATGTCCAACCCTCCACTGAGCCATCCACTGGATCGGGGGGCGGTTCGACTGACTTGTTCAGGGTCACTCACAAACACAAAGATCTGCTTGAGGGTCTCCACATCCGTGGGGTCTGTCGGGACCCCACGGAAGATCCAGGGACACACACATGCCAACAGCATAAGAGAGACCCCCTCCCAGGTCTCCACAGCCAAGTGTGACACCCCCTGTACTCCACTGCAGGAGGACTCCACCGCTGGGGGACTCACACCAACAGTTTATAGAATAACACTCTTTATTAATATAATAGAAAATTGGGACAGATTAAGGTTCAAAAATTGCTGGTGATGGAAAAACATGTCCAAAGCATTCTACAGACAAGTTCTGATCATTAAAAAAGCTGGCTTGAGACAATCAATCACCTCACACAGAGTCTGTTCCTTACTCAGCAGCCCCTACGGGGGAGAAGGTAGGTTCAGCCTGTCAACTGATTCCAGAAGTTAGGATGGAGTCTTCCCTAACTTCTCCCCATTTTTAATTTACTTTTATGCTATTTTCCCGTTCAGGTGGAGCTTGAGTGACTGCAGTTACACATCCTGTTCAGTGGGTGACATATGTTACACCTCAGGAACCTTCGGGACGGAGGTGAGCGTCAGTATCATATCTGTGATCTCCCCACAATTGCTGGTTCAGCAGCAAGGCATCTTCTGTTTTTCTCCGTTGACTGACAGCTGCTGTGTGGCTTTCCAGCTACAAAGTGCCACTGAGTGTCTCTGCTCTGCTCTGCTCTCCCTTTAGTCCCCTTCAGCATGGATTGTGTGTGGGAAGCTGAGCGTGCTGACCGCATTCCATCCAGGGTGCAGCAACTCCATTTCACCCTGTCATTTCCATGCTGTCACAAATTCTCTTAAAATGTGAACATAACTTCCCAGTTTTCTCTAGTTTTGCGCACAGTCATTTTCCCACACCATTCCATCTGGGAAATCCCTTATTTCTGGGGAATTAAAAGGATACAGCATATTCGCTTTTCATTACACCCCCATGTGGATGGATGAGTGGTTTTTCTGATGTTCACACAGCTCATACACACTTTTTTCTATTATTATAGAAGCGAAACTGTGGGTGATCCAAACCCAGCGATTGCCACTCCCCAGTGGCATTGCAGAGAGGAGAAACCTAATGGTGCCTCAAGTCACATGGAATCGGTAAACATTTTCCTGATATGACACTGTTTTTATGACTTTTTTTGCGTTTTCCTCTAACCAACCCCAAAGACAAGGGTGGTGCGAGAAGCCAAAGTGAAAAAGACACTACAAAAGAACCTCTCAGACTTCCCAGCTTCCCCCGAGGATACAAAGGATAATTCTAGTTTGGCAGTTTTCAGTCTTAATTTCTCACGATTAACTCCCTCCTCCATATTCTCCCTCACGTGCACAACTGTCACCCCCGTTTGGGACAAAACCTCTCCATTTTGGAACAAGAAGCACTCAAAAGGCTGAAAACCCATTGGCAGTGTCCCCTCAGCCCCTTGCGAAGGGACAAGGGAGGTGGAGGGGTGGCTGTGGATGCTGAGGGAAGGGGCTGAGGGGTGAAACGGCCTCCCTGGGCCTTGCTTGCCACCTTCATCCAGCCCCTTAGGGACCCTCTTATGGACCACATATGGGAGAGGGGCAGAAGGTGTTGGAGGAGCTCCCAGGTAGGGCAGGACAGGGGGACAGGTCGGCTACCGGTGCAGGAACAGGGGCAAGGCCAGGGGATGGGACAGGGGCAGGGGCAGGAAATGGGATAGGGAATGGGATGGGGCAGGGAATGGGACAGGGCCAGGGAATGACACAGGGAACGGTAACATGACAGGGAAGGGGACACGGACACTCCTTGGCCCCGCCCCGCCCCGCGCAGAAAGGGGCGTGGCTTCCCATCCCCCCTCCTCGCCTGGGGTGACGTCACCTCAGTCCACCCCCGATTGGCCCGGCGGAGCGCGTGACGTCGCGGCGTGACGCCATCCCGCCGGCGGGGCCCAGACAAGATGGCGTCGCCCGGGTCCGGCGGCGCCGAGCGGGGCCCGTAGGAGCGGGATAGCGGGATAGCCGCGGGACAGCGGGGCACAGCGGGCCGGGGGCCGCAGGTACCGGGCGGAACCGCGGGATAGCGGCGGCACAGCGGGCCGGGGACCGCCGGTGCCGGGCGGGACAGCGGGGAGGGGCAGGCGGTGCTGCGGTGCCTGTCTCCTCGCAGCGGGCCCGGGGGCCGGGGCCGGACCGCGCCCCTTGTCCCCCACTCCGGGGTCCGGGACCGTCCGCCCCCACCCGGCTCGGCGGGGCAGAGGCAGGCCGGGCCCGGGAATACCGCTCCTGCTTTCCAGCAGTTTCCGGGATTGCCAGAGTCCGGGGAATGTCTCTCTGCTTAATAACCCCTGATGGGTTCGCTCTCGCTGAGTTTGCCTGTCTGTTGTTGAGATCCGAGTAAGCATTTGGTGTCCGTGGCGTCGGGAGGTGCCCCCTCCCCGTAACTTAAGCCCGTGATGAGCCCAAACATCTGATTTTTGTTCGGGGCTGTGGTGCGTGTCGAGGCTGCCTCCAGGTGACTCGTTAGTTTCTATCGCTGGAGCACTGTGGGTCTTCACAGCACATCGTCCCTGTGCCACTTCAGACTTCTGCTGAGCCACTGCTAAATCACAGAGTGTTCACTCTTTGGCTGCATCTCCTTGTAGGATGAGGAGCCAGTTGTCTTCATGGGTCGTAGCCCTACACTTCCCTCTCTGTACTCATCACCTGTTTCTGGGTCTTTTCTGCTGTTCTGCTTTGGAATGTCTCTCTCTCTCTGCATTTGAGATGCAGACATCCCATAGTTATATGCGTTGGTGTAAGAACTTCAGTTTTGTAGTTTCTGACTTCCTGATAGTGCTTTGTGTTCTCTTCAGCTCAGTGCTTACCAGAAATAAAACATTTAACACTTCTATGAAGCTATTTTGTGTATTCAAGGACTGTTTCCCTGTGTTTTGATAGCTCAAAGTTTATAATTTTTAAAGGCAAAGTTAGGTTTGCTTTGGGATATTCTTTATTTAGTAAAAGAAATTACAATAGTTGGAAATGAGTAATCACCTTATCAACTGTTTTTACTCTTCACATCATCAGAAATTCCAAACAAGTGGAAAAAAAAGCCTCAGTCTTACAGAAGTCTTATGACGTTGTCTCATTAGAACGGAGATAACCAGGTGAACTCTGGCACTTGGCTATGGAACTAACATTGCTGCCATCCTGCACTCAGTGCAGTGTTTTTGCGTTGGATTTAAGCACACTGAGGTGGATATTGCTAAATGGCAAGGGAGTGTTGTCAAGATAAGGGGCTGGGCTGCGAGTGGCGAAGTCTCTTCAGTGGCTGTGCTCCCGATGGAAGGAAGGCATTCTGCATCCCACAGCCTGTCACGGGGTTAAGAGGCTTCTGTGGGAGCTTGGTGAGGGGAATCTTACTCCAGCTGTGGCCCAGGGTGTTAAGGAAAAAGAGGAAGTGCTGCAGTTGGCCAGACCTCTTCCACACCTTCCTTCCCTTACCAACGTTGGAGCATTTCTGCAACTCCTGAAGCTGCTGGTTTCCTGGCATTTCTCAGGGGAGAGGAGGGGGGAAAAAAAACCTGTTGTGGCCTCCTGCTTGCCTTTTCTCCGTAGGGAACAGCGATCTGTGTGGAGCTCTGTGGTAGCCAGGGCAGTAGGATGGGCTGAGCTGTCCCCGGCGGCAGCAGCTGGGCTGTGTTCGAGGCTGGGAGCGGGGTGGTGTTGGGTTGCGGCACCGAGCAGAGCTGCCGCTTAATGACCTCAGTTTCCTGTGCTCGCAGAGCTGCGATTCAAAAGGGGCAGTGCTGCTTTAGGGTGACTTAATCCTTTCAGGCAACAACCTTAATTCTAAGGGTAGGGGGACAGAAAACGTGCAATTTTTGAACAGCTTTTGCAACTTGTGAGTTTAGTCTCAGAAACAAAACTGAAAGTGGTTGCCCTTTCCTTTCTTCACTGTCTGTGTGTGGCCTGCACTGTTTGATACCTCCTTTTGTTTTGTTTTGTTTTGTTTTTTTTTTTCTCCTGTTTATGCACTGTGGAGTCAGGGGAGAAGCTGCAGCTACTAAGGTCAGATACTGCATAAGTCAAGTGCGAGCTGAAACAAAGGCACATGAAACTTCAAAAGGAAAACCAGGGAAATCTCAGGTATAAGATATGTGAATCAGTAACTGTTAGTTTTTCTTCAATGAGTAGAATTTAATTTTCAGAATATTCGAAGAGTATACTGATCGTCTGAGAGACTTGCTGTATGGTCTGTGTTGATGGATAGAAATATCATAAGGGTGAAAAATCATCACAGACACGTGGAATACCTCCATCTCTATTACTCATGTGATGTTTTGCAGTGCCCATTGCTTGTTATCCCTAGACATAAAAACCTGTAACTAACAGGAGAGGATTCAGGTTTCTGGACCAGTCCACCCACATCCAGCCTCTGTGCTTGCAGCTGGAACTGTTTTGGCTGGTGCTGGTGTCAAAAGTGCTATAATGACATGGAAAATATCACCTTACTCAT